TACACACACACACATACACACACACACACACACACACACACACACACACACACACACACATATATATATATATATATATAATCACTATTGACAAATGCACAATGAACATATACTTTGCCTGTGAAATTTCGCTGATGACCACGCATTTGGATTTTAAAGTGTAACTTTCATCACAGTCTGCCCTACACTCTAAGAAAAGTCTTTAAAAATAGGCCCAATGTTCTTTTATCGTTAAAGAAAATCTGTTATACAATGGATAGTTCCGGTCCTTGATTCTGATTGGCTGAGCCACGTTCGAAGCTGTTGTAAATTACTCTAGAAACATACACCTTTTTTTTACGTCTGTGTGATGCTCGGCAACCACTTTGTTGCAACCACAACCGTTTCTGAGGAACTACATTGTAATGCCCCTTAACTGTTATAAATTCACTGTAAACCATGGCTTCTTGGGGCTAATTGCTTTATTAAGATATTTACAAATGTTTTACACATATTGTGTTGTGTTTTAGGGTTAAATGAAATGTAAACTTAACGGATAATGTCCTGGCATAAACTTACCTTTTCTGTTTTTCTCTATATTCTTACAGTGGGCTCTGAGACTAACCTCCACAACTGCCCCAAGATCCTCTGCGCCGTCCCACTTATCATCATAGGCATCAAACAAGGACTGAAACAGTCGACCTGAGGCATCCCTCATTACTGTTAAACATCCAAGAAAAATAAGGCATGTCAGAAATCCTGTTCATAAGAAGCTGATCTCCTACATGATTCTGATAGTAAAGAGCCAACCTGTGACAGCGTTGAGGTACGCTTTAAGGTCCTTGTATATTCTGTATCCATCGCTCTGCAAAGGAGATCACAAGGACATATTAGGCAATCTTTTGATCTTCAAAACAGTTACTTCGTTTACCATCGCAGATGTACCTGCTGGCATTGGAGGTTCGTCACACACTGCTCAAAGTGCTCATCTTTGGTCTCCTCAGATTTGCCAAGCCTCTGCAACACCTGCAAAGGCATCACATATTACATACCTGACAGCCATGACAAGGGGATTCTCAAACTATACTGACAGCACTGCAATGAATGTTACACCTGAACCTTAAAATATTGATAAGTGCACACTGGTGAAGAAAAAGCTTCCTTACATGGTTGTAGATAGAACTATTCAGCTGACTTCTCCAATAGACAGTTTGAGATTATAAGATATGAAGGTCTTAAACCAGGGGTGTCCAGACCTGTTCCTGGAGATCTTCAGATCTACCTGCAGAGTTCAGCTCTAACCCTGCCTGCCTAAACATACTTATAGTGCTCCTGGTTCAGTTGTGTTTGATCAGGGTTGGAGCTGAAGTTTCCAGGAACAGGACTGGACAGACTCAGTAGGTGAAGATAGAAAAGTAAATGGTGATTTAGTCAGCCTTGGTATTTAAATAAAATACATTGTGGCAATAAAGGAGACTGTTAAGCAGAGAAGGAAGCTGCTTGTTTACATTGGCTCTTGTCAATGGAGTAGATAAAGCAACTTTTGCCAGCTGCTCTCAAGTCATGTGACTGGATTGATAATTGGATGAAAATAACACTAAAGTTCCTGTGCTCTCAAACAGGAAAACTTTGGAAATCACATTGGCGCTCTTGACATTGTGTTTTATGATTCCAGCCACGTACCTTCTCCTGTGCTCTGTTGAATTGTTTCTGCACCCGTTTAGTAAGCACATTGGCCCCTCCTTTTGAGCTGATGCTGGCCTTGCTCTCTGCCATGTTCTCCACTTGTTTTCTTCTTGAATAATGTTTTGTTAGACCCTCAAATTACCTGGCCAGCCCTGGAAAATAAAAGAAATTTTTTAGAGCAAACAACAGTTGGTGTCTTTACATACGTCTGTATTCTGTCCAAACACACCTTCTCTTGGCTTCTTCCATAAGTCATAATGTTCTTATCTTTCCAGGTCATGACTTGAGCATTGTGGTGGCCCCTGAGTCATATTTTATAGTGAATGGTTATATAAGAGCCCACTTGTGGAGAACGTTGAAATTATGTTATATTAGGCCTATATTAAAGTGCACTATTCATCCATTTTTCAAACCATTTATCCTATGTACTCTCAGAAAAAAAGGTACAGAAACTGTCACTGGGGTGGTACCTTTTCAAAAGGCACACCTTTGTACCTAAAGAGTCCATATTGGTACCTTAAAGGTACAAATTAGTACGTAAAGTGTACACATTAGTACCTAAAAGGTACAAAAGTGTACCTTTTGAAAAGGTACTGCCCCGGTGACAGATTCTGTACCTTCTTTTCTGAGAGCGTAGGGTCACAGTGATGCTAGAGTCATATTATTAATCAACATTGAACTGAATTGAGCTGAATAATGATAATATTGCTGCTCTTCAGCGGAAATCAAAAAATTTATTAATTTTGCAACATTAACATTGTTATTTTCCTATTTATTTCTGAGAAGCTGCTTTCAAACAATCTAAATTTATCTATATAAATAAATGTAAGAAATGAGATAAGAAGCTGAACTTTGCACCTATTCTGTACTGTTCTATTCTATTTTATATCACATAATGAAGATCAAACATTCAACTTATTCTGTTCCATTTCCCTTTTCTTTTCTATTCTATTCTGAATCAAATAAGTGGAAGTAAAATTTTGCATTTGTTCTATTATTTGATTTTCTATTATGGGTCACATATGCTTTTTCTTTTCTTTTCTCTATAAGCAGTAAGACATAAAAAGCATGACAGAGATTTCCAAGCTACATTTCCCATAAGTAGTTTGTAACAGTAACGCTAACGGTAACGTTACATACAGAAGCAGCAGCATTGGCCACTCCTCTTCCTCACAAATGTGGATGTTATGAACTTTGCTCTGCTTTTTTGAATGAACTCGGGTTTGTAACATTGCTGCTTCTTCAGGACCTGCTCGACATGATCATGGGAAGGAACATCCTAACCAGCCTGAAACTGAAACCGTACTTTGGTTTAACCAGAAGTGTTTGTTTGGGGCGGGGCTATCTGTTGTCCAGCCAATGGCAGACGGGGGAAGTGATGCAGAAATGACACACTTCACCTTTAATTAAACATTTTGAATTTAGCGTCAAGAAATCCTGACCTGAGTGCTTTTTAATTTGCATATGACATTTAAATTCATGTATATTGGCATTAATCATATAAACCTACTTGTATTCACAGGGAAGGTTTATTCATCATGGACTGTGGGCGTACAGCAGACACCCAAACTATCTGGGGGAGATCCTGCAATGGTCGGGCCTGTTCCTGTCCGCTTCCTCCGTCATGCGTGGACCTCAGTATCTCAGTGTGCTTTCTCCTCTCTTCGTCTGGTTCTTACTGAGACATGTTAGTGGGATTCCCATCCTTGAGAAACATGCTATGAAGAAGTGGGGCTCAGATCCTGCTTTCCAGAACTACATCAAGAACACTCCACTCATATGGCCCTTCCCCAAATTTAAAGGAGAATGAAGCTTATTTACAGAACTTGCAGTAATTGCACATGCTGACAAACGAACATGTGAAAGTCTGGATAGATAGGCACAATAGTGTAGTAGTTTAGGGAATAGTTCAGCCAAAAATTTAAATTGGCTGAATATTTACTCATCCTCAGGCCATCCAAGATGTAGCATTTTCTTCTTCTTCTGCAGAACAGATTTGGAGAAATTAAGCATTACATCACTTGCTCACCAACTGATCCTCTGCAGTGAATGGGTGCCGTCAGAATGAGAGTCCAAACGGCTGATAAAAACATCACAATAATCCACAACATGACTCCAGTCAATGAATTCATGCCTGTGAAGCAAAAAAAACTTTGTAAGAAACAAATCCATTATTAAGGTGTTTTAAATGTAAACCATACGCTTCTTGCTATAACCTATAATAATGCTTCCTTCAGTAGAAAAAGTTAATCACTTGTCCTCACACATCAAAATTCACCTACATATTTTAGAAATATTAACTTAAAACGGTTTTCACTTGTAAACGATGCTTGATCTTTGCATATTTCACTCCTGATTCAGATACGAGGTCTTTTTCCACCAGAGAAAGCAATATTATGGAGAGAAAACTCTTATTTTAGTCCAAATAAATGGGTCGAAGTTAAAATTCATTGAAATGTTTCATTACAAACTCACAGCTTTTCACTTTACAATGTTAACTGATGGACTGGAGTCATGTGGATTATTGTAACGTTTTTATCATCTGTTTAGTCTCTTATTCTGACGGCACCCGTTCACTGCATAAGATCCATTGGTGAGCAAGTGTATGCTAAATTTCTCACAATCTGTTCTGATGAAGAAAAACAAACAAACAAAATCGTCTACATCATGGCTGACTTGAGGGTGCGTAAATTTGATCCAAATTTACATTTGAGTAAATAATTCCTTAAAAAAAAAAATCTAGAGATGTCCCCGTTCCTGGTTATAGTTTCTTCATTATAACAATTTCAGTACACCTAGCTACTTTGCAGTTGTAACCCACAAGAACTTTCTTCAAGAAATCAATCAATACTTCTCTTTTTCCATTAATTCATATGTCCATTAAATCTTACATTTTGGCACGCTTTGTGCCTCAGTGATTTTGTATTGTATTTTAAATGTGAACATTTAAGTCTCGCCACTTCAGTCTAACTCTAAACCCCAATGCAATGTGTTAAAAGACAGACACAAAGGACTTGCAATAAATGAATGTATTTTACAAACAGCACAAGTCTTACAAAATATCACACCACTCAAATTGAAAAGCAACTGAGTTGATAAATCAACTTCAATGTTCAACACAGAAACAATTGCCCTTTTAAAATGATGAAAGCATGACCGTTCAGTGCTACACAACTACTGGTCCAGAAAACGTTGCACCACTGAAAGGAAAATGACTAATTGTATACAGTAAAGAGTGTCCAAACATTATAATATTTTATGAATTGAACGAGGTACGCTAGATCCTTCAAAATCAGTCAATTCTCCCAGAGGGCACCATATTTTGTTTTTCTACTTTAAATACGGTATAAAATTCAATAAATTGAGCCAATACTGCATAAAGACATAAATCAATGCCACAGTGAAAGTCTAAAATAATTCTGGCCATGTTCATTTATGATCAAAAGCAATTATGAAGCTAAAAGACAAAATGCCCAATCAAAACAACCAATAGTGTTTTCGCATACAAATTGCATAGAATTCTCAATTTTCTTGTCTTGAACCGCTCTATGCATAAATCTTAGACGATTCAAAAGCACAGTGCATCTCAAACAACAAATGGATAATTTAAACATCAGCATCATTCATTTTAACATGAACAGCAACATCATCTTAAATTCTGTATTTAACCTACTGGCTGTAAAATCTAAGCTTGACTGTGTTTAAAAACACAGTTTACACTCTACATAGAAAAACCTGATAGTCACTAAAGCCTTGAACCCTCTAAGAGATTGAGATTTTGCTTGTCGTTCCTTGTAAAACACACAATATACAGATTATACTATATACAAATCTTGCATACAGCATAACCTTTTTTGTTCTAGATGCTACAACCAAGTTCAGGTTTCTTGATAAAGAACTCCCAAACTGATGCATATTCTGTTGTTAATAGAGGATTCAGTAACTGATGGAAGTGCTTATATCAGCCTATCGCTTTGGTTGTGAGAATGTTAACAGTACATTAAAACATTTAAAAGCGACTAAAATACAAATGTTACTAGAAAACTCAACAGATAAAAAGAGTAGTGTTAATATGGTTCAAACTGATGGACAAACCAGACATAATATGCAAGTAGGATAATGTAATATATTGCAGCTGTTTCCCAAAGAAAAGTAAAACTCAGCCTTGAGGAGCTTCAGGGCTACTTCAAGAGAGGAGAGGCGAAGAAGTGCCCCTGGCGAGGGACGCTGACTGCAGCTCTGCTCCTGCTAGAAAATCTGAAAACAGGATGGATGTTCATAATGGTTAGTTCACTTCTACTCGAACAGCACTGGTAGAACGTAATAGGATTCAAACATAGCCTACTTTGGAGTGATTGCATTAAGAGTTGCATTCTTCATGCGCTGGGAGAGAGAGCTGGATGATGGGGTCTTGCTCATCTGCTGGTCAGGAGTCGTAAGGGGCCCAAACATACTTGCTACAGGACAAAAAAAAAAAGCATGTTGTTATAGAAGGAAAACAAACAAACAAACACACTGAATTCAAGATCAGGTGATGGTTTGAAACAACCAAAGTCTGAAATTCATACTTTTGTTATCAGGAGTTGCGTGGACATTGGAGTTCTCGATGATCATGTGATCACTGCGACCCTGGTGGTTGTCGCTGATCATAAACTGACTCCAGTACTCCACAGGCAGACTCAAGAGACGCTCGATCACCTGTGAAAGAGAGAGGGAAAAAAAGCTTGGTGAAGAACTGTGCCAAAACACCAAAAAGTACACTTTTGCACAGCTCAGACCCCAATTAAGGTCGCTTACTTTCGGCTGCCGTTTTGTGTCCTGCAGGATGGTCACTGGATCTGGGTCAGGCACGGCATAACCCAAAATTGTGGGCCCAAATACCCGAGCCAGATTGGTTATGTCCATCTTTGTATCTTTGCTCTGGGCCACCCTGAACATGATGGAAATAATACTTAAATATAATAGTCTCATTATATGGAAATAATCCATCTCACAGCCTAAAAACTACCGCCCTAGACAAGTGTTGGGTTTTAATATACAAGAATGTTGCTCCAAATTAAGATGAATAGATAGTGTTACTAAACTAAGAAACACAAACCATCATAAAAACATTTTTTTCTTTAATTATCCAGACATGAATTAATTTAGTGTAAATGAACTGAATACATCAACCATACAATCACTTTTATTAATCGGTAAATGTCTGCAACATAGTTCCTTTATTAGCTCCTCATATTATATTGCTGTTAAAAAGAGAAAATACAAAACATTTGGAGGAAAGAAAAAGTGTTTCCAAGATTGATGGCAAACAAATCTGGAAAGAATTGTGTAACAATATTATTATTGATGTTTTGTTTGTTGAGGAAGTAATGCCATTGTCAAATACAGGTTAAATACATTTTAACTGTTGAATAGATATTGATGTCAACAGCACCACAAATTACAAATACACAACTGTAACACCATTTCAAGAGAATAACCATCATCCTTAAAGCAAAGTTTCTGGTAATGCTTAAAAATAAACATTTAGACTTTTACACCCTCCAATACAACAACCCCTTAAGGCACTGATGTTTTACACAGACTGCTCAAGATGCTTTAAACCTGGAATATTCTTGAAATGTCACAAATGTAAGTGTAATCAGGTAAGAAACGCATTTGGTTTTCATAATTTATTTGTATTAGCAAGTGGCACCATCAATAAAGCAGACAGTAGAATCAGAGATTGTGTGTGCCGTTTACCTCTGCAAATGGATGATGAGAAAGGCCAGAGTGTCTCTGTTGGGCTGTGGAAGATCACTGATGTTCTGATACATCAAGGCGATGCTGTTGTCATCATCGGACAGCTCTGAGGGGGGGGGATTACATTCATAATGTTACAAAAGACGTCCATTGAAAAGAACAGCATTCATTTGAAATTTCCGATTCAAAGAATCCCATGTCAATGTATCATGGTTTCCCAAAAAAATATTAAGCAGCATCATTGTTTTTAAAATTAATAAAAAGTAAATGTTTCTAAAAAAACAAATTAGCATATTCAAATGATTTCTGAAGGATCATGTGACACTGAAGACTAGAGTAATGGTGTTGAAAATTCAGCTATGCCATCACATGAATAAATTACATTTTAAGAAACATTAAATAGAAAAGTTAGATTAAATAGTAATACTTTACAACAATATTACTGTAGTTTTGATCAAATACTGTAAATGCAGCATTGGCCAATATAAAAGACTTTTTTTTAAAGTTTAGACTAGTACACGTGCGCATTTAGAGTGCGTTCTTTCACTGCATGATTACATTTAAATGATCACAAAATTCAAGATATGGGGACAGAAAATTTATATCATTTCATATAGTTAATCAATATCACACAAAGAGTGCCGTTTCTTTCTCCAAAAAGTTCCATGATTACAAAACGGTTTCAACAGTTCAAAAAACAATAAGTGCATTAAGAGACTTACGCTTTAGACACCATAATACCTGTTTTTGTTCTATTTCGACAACAAAAATAATTCCAAACACAGCCATAGTGCTGTTTTGCATCTCTGATTCAACATGGTTTTGTTCCTTTGAATCAACCGTTTAAAATGAATCGGTTCAGTCGCAATGACTCACTTATTAACAGTGACTTGCTTGCTGCCACCTGCTGGCGGTTTTTTATTTCACATTTCAAAATTCTTTTTATTTAAATAATTTCAAATAACAGTATTCAATATTTTATGTTTAATACATCAAAACATTAATTGCGCATTTGCAAGTGCAGGTTAAATGCATTCATGTTCTGCACTAAACAGTAGTGTGTAAATACATCTAAATGCCACTTCAGATGCAGCTTCTGTTTCTCCTCTGCATTGCAAAGATTAATTTTATTGATACTGACTTAATTTGCTTGGTAACAGCCCAAATTCTTATTATTCTAATTCACCGATTAAATGTAAGAATTTGACTCAAAAGATAATGCTCACTTTTAAAAAAATGGCTTTATAAAAGGTAAAAATCTATTTAAATGTATTGGAAAAGATTAATTTGTATCAGTGTGAACTGACCACCACACGGAATATGAAGGGAGTCAGCTGTCCACGGTAGTCCTTAAGATACCAGCACAATACCACACTCAGCAAATTATCATCTAAATATAGTTATTGATCAAATCCAAGAAAATAGAGAGATTCTTTTTTGTCAATAACACACACCCCTATTTTGAAGTGTGGTGTACATTCAGACAGACACTAACCAGCAGCATCCATGAAGGCACGGTTGAGGCGGAAGGTCAGCAGGGGTTCTTTGAGGTTCCTCAGGAAGTCCTTGAGGAGACCAGTGATGGCATGGATATCTTCCACCTTGCTGAGCAAGGGAACAGTCTTCCCACGCAGGAACTTCTCTTTCAGGTCCTTGACCACTCGATCAGAGCCAGACACTCGGTACAGACCAGTCTATCAAAGCAATATGCAGGTTTTATGCAGGACTGGTCTTTTCTAGTATTAAAGATTTCAGCATCTTTATTGACTTACCTCATGCAGGCCTCTCTGCTCAATCTCATTAACGCAGTGCACCACTAGCGAAGGAATCATGGGAGAGGAGGTGGACACATAATTTGCTAGGATGCCCTATCGAAAAAAAAACAGACACCAGAAGCAAACAGTGACTAATTTATGCTTAAAAGGTATGCTTATACTCAAGTTGGATGATAAAGATTTGTCACCTCCTCAAATTTCACTGGAGTCCCAGTCATGGTTGGAATGCAGGGCAGAGGGCAGCGCTCACGGCACTCGGGGTGGGCCACCACACGGCAGTCCCTGCACTTTAGGGAGATCTTCCCAAATTTTATCCTCTTACCACATGGTACACAAGACTCTGGCTTGATCACCTAAGCAAAATTACAAGAGCCAGACAGATATGAGCTGTGAGGGCTAAAAACACAGACCTATGTAGATCATTTAATTGACTATAGTTGGAGTGATACAGTTTTATTGCTTTGAAAATTTTACTTGGTGTGTACATCACAATACTAAAGAAAGATCTGTCACTACTTCCTTTTTGTGACTTTAAAGGGGTCATATGATGCGATTTCAAGTTTGCCTTTCTCTTTGGAGTGTTACAAGCTCTTGGTGCATAAAGAAGATCTGTAAAGTTGCAAAGACTAAAGTCTCAAATCCAAAGAGATATTCTTTATAAAAGTTAAGAGTCAACCCCACCTACCTAAAACGGCTCATTCTAACACGCCCCCACATATCTACATCACTATGTGAAAATATTAGCATAATGCCGCCCAAGTGTGCACACAAAGAAAGAAGGCGTGGTTTCAGGAACAGCAGTAATGTTGATGCAGCAATGTCAGGGAGACGGTGTGTGTTTCAGTGCGAAAGCAAAAGCACTTTATTTGGCCTTCCGGAAGCAGATGCAATTAGGAATCATTGGTTAAGATTTATTTACAACAGAACAGCACAACCCAGATGTTCGAATTTGTGCAATGCATTTTATGGACGACAGCTTTTTGAACCTAGAAGAGTACAAGGCTGGCTGTGCACAAAGGCTATTTCTAAAAAAATAAAATTAAATAAAAAAATAAAATAAATAAAAAAAAAAGGGGCGTCAATTCCGACTTTGCTATAACAATCTGGCGCTTCTGAATCAGTGACTGTAAGTATGTTTTGTTATTAGTTTAAGTATTTGCCATTGACTGTTCAAATGTGGAGTTTTGCGCAGCACAGAGTGTGTGTGTGTGTGAGAGGGGAACAGGGTCACATCACAGGAGAGTGAACAGCCTGTCAGAAATCATAGCACGTCAGCTGTCTTAACTGCGGCTTGTGTACTGCATCATCACAGTGTCTGTCACGCGACTCTGTTGCCCTTTCGATCTTGAACTGATGGTAAAACTAACAACATTAACTGTTTTGATATTTACTTTGAAAGATGAAGCTGCGATTATGGTAAGGGGCGTTACATTTCCGACGCATGCTTGTGGTGTTCGGCCAATCACAATGCACTGGTTCAGCTGGCCAATCAGAGCAGACTGCGCTTGTCAAAGGAGGGGGCTTTGTTGAAAACGACACGTTTGAGAGAGGCGGGGCATAGCAGATCTACAATAATGTACAGTATTTGAAAAAGAATGTGTTTTTTGAACATTAAAGCATGTCAACATTCTGTTACACCAAATAATTATCTTTAAAATAGCATCAAATTACCCCTTTAAAGAGATTTTATAATTTAACAGTTCTCTAATGTTGGTTAATGGTCAGATGTAGGCAAATAAATTAAATTTGTGAATATTTGTAAATTAATCAAATATCTTTTTAGTAAGTGTTTAAATGTTTTAATTCATTTTAAAACTTCACATTTAATTAGTATTTATTAGCTTTTCATTCAGCTATATATCCTTCATGATCCCAATTTTAAAAAGCCCCGACTTACGCAATCAAATTATAAATGGAAATAACATTGCATTGATTTGAGAGATTAAAGGGGTGGTTCACTGGGTTTTTTCTAGGCTTGATTGTGTTTATGGGGTGCAGACTAACATGTGTTAATGCTTCGTTTTTTTAAAAAAATGCATTATTTTCCACATAATTTACCTTTATTCCACACCGCTCTGTCCCTTCTCTGAGAAACGGGCTGATCATTTCCTTCTTTTATGAAGCCCCTCCATCAGAAATAAGCGATGGGCTCTGATTGGTTAGCTAGCCCAGTGTGTTGTGATTGGCTAAACCACCTCATCCCGCCCCTCACCTCAGCGGCATGTGCTCCGGTTGTATTGTAAACAACTGCATCGTTAATATCGCTTATCAGTTTGAGCCCGATTGAGAAGCAGAGGATATTATTGAAGAGGATCGTGCAGAACCTGTGCAAGTACGGCTTTTAATGGTAGGCCTACGTTTTTTGTCGTCTCATACTTTTAGATACGCTGTTATTTGTAAATGCTACTGCTTATGTTAGCTTTTAATATACAGTTTTATCCTGATTAAAGCTTTAATACAGTACGGCAACTGTATGTGCGTCCATGTTTAACACTTCTCATAGCTATGTGAAAATAAATGTATAATTGGAACAGTTCATTGCTGGAGCTGAGCTGAATGAGAGAGAGAGAGAGAGAGAGAGATGCAGAGCAGGGGGATGCGAGGAACAGTATTAAGACCCGCTGCTTTAGAACATTGATTTTGAAACTTGTGAATCCATTAGAATCGTTAGAAGACAGAATCGCAATTCATATATGAATAGATTTTTACGTGCACCTCTAGTTTTCTCTTCCTCTTCTCTAAAGCAGCACAGCATGGCCTCGCCCCCTTTGCTGCCTTTTCCTGAGGGCGGGGTTTATCTGGGTTTGTGATGTCATGAACCCAGGAAGTAACTTCTTGTAGTTCCTACCAGCCGTTTTTGTAGGCATTAAACTGCCAGAATTTTAAAAGACAATATCTCCGTTTGCATTGAATTTACAGCTTTGTAACTTTGCAGATATTGTTTATGCTCAAACAGCAACATTAGACACTAACTAACGTTAAAAAAGTGAAATCGCAATGAACCACCCCTTTAAAAAGATTAGTATGCAACAGCGCATCATACCGTTTTGGAGACAAACTCATGCAGGCGTACACCTCCGTTGCCCTGGGGAGTGCTGGGCTGTGTCTTGATCTCTCCATTGGGCTGACTGGGCTGCTTGAACACATCCATAGACTGAACAGAGTCTGTGTCAGCAGTGTCCCACTCCAGAGCAGCTGAAGAACAAAGCAGAGAGAAGCACTGCTCACTACTGCAGAATACTTAAACAGAAATCCAAAGGCTTGGGGTGTGAGAAATGATCAGAAAAAACATCCCATACAAAACAGCCCTCGCATAAAAAAATATTTTAAAAAAAATATATATAAAAAGAGTAGCAGACTGGGGACTCAACTTAAAACACCCCCGAGTCCTACAAACCACGTATTAAATTATTTAAAAAAATTAATCTTTGACCCGGTTCGATAAAACAACGCATATTTATGATACTGCAACCACATATCATGACTCACTGCGGAGCTTGTTTGCAATACAACAGTCTGCACATTATTATTCAGTCAATAAGAAAATCACATAATCAATGACTCATGCAAATATTCTCTTGCTCTGCACTGAGCTCTTACGAATGACAATAATACATTTAGTGAAGTGGGCTTACCAGTTTTTCGGCGGCTCCGGGTCCAGTAAGGAACAGCCTCCACTGTGGTGACAGCTTCAATGGGTCCGCCATCAGCGGGCACCGTCACGGTGGTCTTAGCCACCAGAGACTCATTACCCTGAGAAAACGTGATTCGAATTAATTGTCAAATAATTTCTAACTGATTACACATTCAGCTAAAATATGGCAGTATTAACTGGACATTAACAGCATACAGACATCAAAATCAATCAGGAAATAGCTTGTTGGCTCTCACGATGTCAAGAGAAGACAAAACCTTCCAATATTCACACTCCTATGGGCTGTAGGGACTGGTGGAAACATTTTACTCGTAATGACTAAAGCAAAGCCCTGTAGGGAGCCTTTAAACTGAAGAGTCATTCTTGTGCTTATGTAACCCAATCTTACATTCTCAGAGGTACGGCCGGTGGAACGGGACCTCTTGGCAGCAGCAGGGGGGCCATCTGTGTGGTTTCGGGAGGAGCGCTGCATTGAGACAGATTAAATGATCAGATATTGATTGAAATTTGGAAGTAATTTAATTAAATACGGCTTTGTTGGGAAGCTTACTCTCTTTTGCCGTTTCTTGAGACGAACAGCCCTGATTGCAGAAGAGTCCCAGTCCTTTTTTCAAAGAAAGGTTAACTTAAAAATAAATTACTGCAACAACAAACCTCAATCAATAAAAGATGAGGCAGTCTAAAAATTAAAATGTTATATTAATTTTTTTTTTTAATGTTTCACTTTCTCCCTGTCAGGTTTGAGACAGGAATAGCCTACATATAAGAATGATGTTTTTAATATTCAAGGAAAAGACATACCAAAGAATCATCAGTTTTATCATAACTGATGTCTGACAAGATAGAGGCCGATTCATCAATGGTGGCCAGTCTAGTAAAGTGTGTGAAAAAACAAAATGAAGGTAAGACAAGTTACAGCCTACAGTAGTAAGAAACAATTCAATTGTGAAAACCAGCTCTTTTGTCTTTTATGACATTCATGCAATTATCTCCTTATGAATAAGATATAGTCCATTAAAAAGGCTTTAAAGTCCAAAGAAAGAAAGAAAAATAGCATTATTTAATTATAGCATAAATTTTTTCAAAGTATATATGGGATGTTTACAAAAGAAACGGTAAAGATGCCTGTTAAATTTTACAATGAGGTCCCCTCACAAAAGGACGTTCATATTTGGGTCGTCCATGGCATCTAAAAGATTTTATGATTCCAATCAAATCCTGAACGATTTCTTAAAGGGGTCATATGATGTTGCTAAAAAGAACATTATTTTGTGTATTTGGTGTAATGAAATGTGTTTATGCGGTTTAAGGTAAAAAAAAACACATTTTCCACATACTGTACATTATGTCTCCTCTATGCCTTTCTGAAACACATCGATTTTTTACAAAGCTCATCGGTCTGAAATGCGAGGTGTGCTCTGATTGGCCAGCTATCCAGTGTGTTGTGATTGGCCGAATACCTCAAGCGCGTGACGGAAATGTTACGCCCCTTACCATACTGTGATGCCATGTCCCAGCCGGAGCGACGAGACAAAAACATTAAAACCCATTATAAACGAGGCATTTGTTGCATCCAGTGGGGACATAATTATGGATTATAATGACTTATACTGTCTTTTTACGCGCTGCGTTGCATCGCGCCGCGTAAACAAAATCATGTCTGCATTTGTGATCGGAGAAACGACAAACGCTACTCTACACTGCTCAAAACTCGCATTTGAATCATCAGTGGCAAATCCTTTAAATATGAAAACGTACTTACAGTCTGTGAGTCAAAACAGTCGGCATTGTAGTCTACTCTCCCAGGATCAGGAAACAGTCCTCCATAAAATGCGCTGGACACATCTGAATATTTGGGTTGAACTGTTCTGGAACAGTGTTGTAAATACAACTTAACCACTGATTTCTAGTCGTGTCCTCTTTTGGAAGACCAAACAAAGTATTTTCGAAACACACAGCGTCTTCACAGCATGGCGGCGGCGGCAGCAACAATAAAGTTAAGCCTTCTTTCTTTGCGTGAACATTTGGGTGGTGTTATGCAAATCTTCCCACACAGTGATGTAGACATGTGGGGGCGTGTTTAACCAAGGCGTTTTAGGAGGGCGTGGATGAGTCTTAACTTTTATAAAGAATATCTCTTTGGGTTTGAGACTTTAGTCTTTGCAACTTTAGGGATCTTATCTATTCACGAACAGCTTGTAACACTCCAAAGAGAAAGGAAAACTTGAAATCGCATCATATGACCCCTTTAAAGAATAACCAGGTTTTCTTAGAAATCCATCATATTACAGAAGTAAAATAGGTTGATAATGTGGTTTCATGATCATTCTCTTACCGTCGGCTAGTGTTGAGGTTTGCAGGATTCTGGGAACGGGCATTCAGAAAGGCCAGAGCGGAGCGCTGCTCCTCATTTAACTGGATGCTGTTACTGGAGCCTTCAGACACCAACAGCTCCCGGATGAGCTGGATCTGACGGTCCTGCAGTACAAGAAAACATCTGGTTTTAACCTAAATTCAGAGGTCTACAACATCTGCAACATGCAAAAAGAGGCCTACAAACCAGTTTTGCACAGTCAGCCTCAGCTTTCTGTCTCCTACGGATCTCCACGTCTACTTGGTTGCGGGCATGTTTGAGCTTGACCTCTAGAGCTCCTCGCTCTGTCTCAGCCTTGGTGAGCACCTCCTTACAAGCATTCAGCTCCTGCTCGAGTCTCAGCCATTTACGACGGCTGTTCTCAAAATTCAAAGCCATCTGAATGAACTCTGACAAAGAAATAAAGAATGGCAGTGAATATTTAGTGTATGCATGTATTCTATTTAAAATTTTCAAACCACAACAAGTACTTACGGGGCTCAATGCTTTCATTGAGAACATCAGCTTGTGCCCGCAGGCTTTCAAAAATGCTGTGAAGATTGATCACAGCAGTGTCCATGTCCTCCTGTATTGCAGAAAAACATTTAAAGTGTGTATACCATTTCATATAAGGTAGATTTATTTTGCTATGTTGCTTAACGTATATCATTCTGAGACCCAGCAACTTATTTGAAATTGGCATATGATTGTTGTTAATATCTCGCGACCATACATGCCACCGTTTGGACACTGTGTGGCTTTTCAGCAATACATACTTTTGGGGGCGTGGCCAAATAATGAATATTAATATGTATCCGAATAAAATAAACTAAATAATAATAATAATAGTAGTAGTAGTAGTAACGTTAGTACAAAAAAAATCTAAGAGTAAAATGCATAATAAAGTGACGATGTTAAATATTAATAACTTTTTCTTTTTTTATTATTCTTTGAAAAGGGTACTAAGCAACACAATAATGCTAATAAATATAGTATCAAACTCGTTTTTTGCTGGCAATATGAGGCTAAAATTGTAGATAACATAACCTCTCCCGCATTTAAATCACGATATGATAAATGTTGAACGATGGAAATGCAGTAAAACACTAACACGGGTCTTACAAACGACTCGTTGTTAGGAACAAACACTAACGTTACAAACAAACACGAATTCATTAAAGCAAGTCACCAGATATTTTAACTTACGGATTTGTGTAGACGCCCAGCCTTGTGTATGAAACAATGTGATTCAAAAAAATTCCCCCAGGGACAACAGCACCTCACCGGTTTGTTCAACCAGGTTGGTTTACCCGGATATGTTGTTAACGTTAGCGTCTAGAGGAGTTGCGTTTCAAATTTACCCGCCAGCCAATCAACGGCGGCCGGGCGTGTTGACGTATGCGCGTCGACGCAGTACGTACAGGCGGTGCGTCTGCTGTACTGCTTGTTGTACACTTAACAATTTCTAAATATGTATATAATTGCGTACTAAATAGTGTATAACATGTGAAACTGGGCATAATGTAGTTTCTTTAAAAAAAAAGAAAGTAAAATTAATCTCCACTTAGTCGTTATTTAAACCTAGCGAAAATATGGGAGAGGTCCATGAAAAAAAATCAGAGAACAGCATTGTGATAATAGAAATAATTATAGATAATGAATATATAATAAAACAATAAGATTTAACTAAATAAATGCATTTGACTAAAATAAAAAATATTTAAATAAGTAATTTAAATATTTTAAATAAATAAATAAACAATGCAAAATACAAAGTGTTTTAGAAAAAAGAAATGTAATAATGTAATGTAAATGAAAATAAATATTTTCCAAATAAAATTGTACTATATTTTCCATATAGTAAATTTCACAGTATAAAGTGGGTCTTTATATACATCTGTGGCATCTAAGATTCAGAAACCTTGTCGTACGGCTGTTTTTAATGCTGGTAATTTAAGTGGGCCAAACATAAATTAATTAGATAAATAAATTAAATAATATTTCCTTTCTGTAGATACATAAGTGATTATTTATGCTTATGTTCCATCTATCTATCTATCTATCTATCTATCTATCTATTTATCCATCCAGCCAGCCATCCATCCATCCATCCATCCATCCATTTATCTATCTATCTATCTATCTAAGCTCACTGACTGATGCCTCAGACAAATTAGAAAAAGGGGCAGAAGCCAGAAGCAGCGTGTTGTCTTGATTAATATCCTAGTTGGTCAATAGGCACTGACACTGTAACTGTGGAGGAGAGAGAGAGAATCGGCCTTTTTTTGCCCGGATCCTTGTTCATTTTTTTAAAGGCAATATTCTCCATTTTTCGATATATCTTTACAATTTTTATTTGCTACTATATTGGTTTCAAAATAAAAAACGAAATAAATTGTTTTATAGTTTAAACAAACCGTTCGAAAATCGAACGGTTATGTCATAACCAGACCAGACCCAATCAGACAACCCATCATAATCTACTAATTTTGCACTTTTACCTTACATTTTAAGTCAAATAAATATGTCTATTGCCATACCACGTGTTAAGAAAGGCTACACGTCAAAGGACAGAGAGAGAGAGAGAGAGAGAGAGAGAGAGAGAGAGAGAGAGAGAGAGAGATGGCCAACTTTACACCATCCTATTAAAGGGATCCGCCAGTGGGGTGTCTAGAGCAACTTGCAGCACGAACTCAAACAAGGCTCTGAAGTGCTGGAAGAGCAGTGAACTGCATTAGAAGCTGGATCTGTGCTGAATCCTGCAAACATGATTGCCTCCACACAGCAGAACATGACAACGGAGCTGGTAAACGAAGCTGAACCGCATGTTTTATGTTTTGCATGAGCAAAGACTAAATGCAGACTGACGATCAAACGGTCTAGATGCTGTATTTTACAAATCTGTGAGAACAAGAGCCGCAGCAAAGGAGCGCGTGCATGTGCGAGAGAATACAAATCCCTGCACGCGACCACTATTCTCCTTTCATATCCTGTTTCTGAACTGTATCTAAGCTTGTTTCAACTCATGTCCCCGTCAGAGTACATTTAAACACGTGCTTTTTCAGCACAGGTGTTGTTCGCATTGATTCGCCTCGGTTTTCATTCATACTTTCGAAGGAGCTGTCCGCATCCCTCCAACTGCTTCGCTCCGTCACACCAGTTACTACTGCAGTGCTTTGCAGTGACTCGCTGATTAACTGAAGTAGGGATTTTCCGAAGAGCTTGATATCAGGCTGTCGTTTTCAACTTCTTCTTAAAGGTTTTGATATTTGAGTTCGATATTTGTGTTGTTCAGTTGCGCAACTGAACCGGACAGCTGCCTTGAAGTGATGTGAATTCCCTGTGAAGATGACAAGAGCTCTGGACGTTTATCTCAAAGACGCGATCATCTGTGAGAAACCCTAATGAGACTCTTTATCCATCCGACACAAAAATCTGCATAAGAGTCACTGATGTGACGAACACTGTCCGGGTCTTTATGGTATTCAAAATAGTTTATACAAAATGACTCGAATACCAATAGTACTAAAATGTTTAAAAGTCATTTTTACATTATTTGTTGGTTTTAAAACAATTAAAAAGTCTAGATGTTGTAACTGTTCAGAGTTTGTTATACTGTATATATATATATAGTCTTATTAAAAAGCTAAAAAAAAAAAGAACACAAATAATGAATGATAGTTGGCAAAATAGGCTTATTAATTTAAAAAAAAATTATATATATATATTTGTATTATTTTTTATATTTTCTTTTAAAAATATTTTACATATTTCTTTAAAAAAAATCGTAGTCTGCCAAATCAAGTGCTGCGTCTCAATGTGCCTACTTATACTACGCCCTTAAAGTATGTACTCTTTTGGTAAAAAGTCTAGATGTTGTAACTGTTCAGAGTTTGTTATACTGTATATATATATATAGTCTTATTAAAAAGCTAAAAAAAAAAAGAACACAAATAATGAATGATAGTTGGCAAAATAGGCTTATTAATTTAAAAAAAAATTATATATATATATTTGTATTATTTTTTATATTTTCTTTTAAAAATATTTTACATATTTCTTTAAAAAAAATCGTAGTCTGCCAAATCTGATATCATATAAAAATGTGCCTACTTATACTACGCCCTTAAAGTATGTACTCTTTTGGTGAAGAAAAAGTACACATTTTTGAGTGTGTAGTAGAACAGTAGGCAAGCTTTGGGATATACTGCGTCTTTAAAGGACCTCTCTGTGGCACCTGTTATAGGCACCCTGTCACTGTAAACTGGCCTGTCAATCATCTTGTCACAGTTAAAATCCTCCACATTTCATTTCATTTAACTTCCTACCGTACTGGAGAGAAAAGAAGTAGCTCATTGATCTGCCAGTCGCGGGTCTTCCATGCTGAGAACTCTGCTCATATTTTATGCATAATGATGCATTTAAAAGTTAACGACCAAATTAATGTTTATAAAAGTTCACATTGCTGTCGCAGATGAAATATAACACGGATAACAATAAATAAATAAATAAAAATGTACCAGGTTAAATGTTGATTATTGTTGATCGCGCTCATCCGCCACGTTTGTAGTTTTTCTAACGCGTTTTATTCGTGTTTGTAGTTCTGGACCGAATCCTTCGCCAAAGCGCAATGGATTGTGGGCAATTTTAGCCATTAGCGTGTGCACGGATCCACACTTCAAAAATCGACCTGAAATAGTAGACCATCCGGGGACTTTTGGCATACTCTTTTCTGCATACTATGCTTCGGGACACACTTATTCTAATCTCACATATTTAGGATGGATAGTATGAACATTGAGACGCAGGGAAGGTGTTAGCAAACCAAAATAAAAGAAGCCATTTTGTTGTGATGTGACTAAGACTTCAGCGTGTTTGTTAGTTGTGGCATTGTTTTCATGCCAAATTAAGGCCAAGATATTACTGTAATACAAATGTAATTAATACATTAAAGTTAGTGTGACAAATATTTCCATGATAGCCATCTATTTCGACATAGCCATAATCTTTTTTATTGTGAATGTGTGAGACTTCAGCTTTATTAGCCTCTTATGGGTAAATAACAGGAAGAACAACAAAGTGCAGTAAAAGTAGCTAATATTATTAAAAATAAATTAAAATAATACGATAACAGCATCATAACAAATTGTTCTTAAATGCACGATATAAAGTTGATATTAGCGTATTTTAAATAATATAGCATTATTTTTGCACTATGGTAATGACAATGGTACTTAATTGTTGTGAAAATAACGTCAACATTGCAAAAAAGGTCCTAAAACAGGATGCATTTTCTTCATTTTCCTTTGAATTTGGAGTGAAATATACTGTTCCTGATAGGTTTCTCCCATATAAATATGATTTTCACGTCCCTTTCAAATACAGATTATACTCTGGTCTGTACTCCTTGCCAGGAAACACAATCTCTAGAATACCATTGCTCCTGGTCAGCGTTTGCACAGTAATTCATGCTGCACTGATAAGCATGATCACCTAGCGAATGGCGCTTATTTCTGAAATGTTTATGTAAGAGTCTATTCTAGAAGGTTGTTCGAGTGTAAGGGAGTGTGAAGGAGCAGCGTTTCTCCTCTATGGTTGCAGCTGACTCATATGTTGCATCTCTATCTGAAACATAATCAAATCACTCCCTCTCTTTGTAGTCTCCAGCTCATTTGCATATATTCTGCCTGGTGCCACGACCATAAAGAGCAACCTGCGTGCATGCAACCTGGCGATAAACAGCCAGAGAAGTGCTGACATGTCAGAAATGTCACTGTGACAAAATGTTATTGTTGATTCTGCATTTGTGTTTGCGAATAAAAAGCAGTAGAAAAAGCGACACAGCGGTATGATTGTCAATACTATGATGCCTAACGTGAGATATAAGATGTTATAAAATGTCAGTGTGCAAATTCTATTTAGTCATCATTGTCTTATATTAGCATGGGTCTATGAGTGGGACTGTGAATACAGCTCTGTTTCTAACAGATAAGAAACACCCAGAGTAATTTGTTTTTTTCTTTTTGTTGCATTATTTCCCCTTCACATCTGAAAACTAATGTTCTGCACCATTCCTGTAATTTGATTTTTACATAACTGCTGCACTGATGAAATTCTATGTGCAATTAGTGTGCAGATGTTATTGAACATTACACACTGTATTCAATTAAAGGTACATTTTCAATATTTTGTTTTTGCTTTCCTTTGTGTTTTCACTTAATGATGTTCTTAGCCACAAATAATTTATTTCACAGGTTAAAGTGATACTTTTTACTGTGAAAAAGTGAATTTGGCTTGACGTGATCACAACTTCGCCTGATTTGAAATTGAAACAGTTTTATAGGT